GGGAGGCCAGCGAGCCACAGACGCCCCATTAGGCATTGTGTGCACTGTGTACTTACTCATAGCTTTCATTTCAGTCAAGAAAACAATTTCCCTACGAAAACATCTGAAGGCTACAAGGAAACAGTTGTCTTTCTGGTTGATCATGGGGTGCAGGGCATAACCCAAGGGTGTGAAAGCAGAACCTGCCTGGGAAGAGGCCCCAGAAGCTGGCAAATTAGCCACCCTGTGACCAGAAGAAAGCCCAATTCATCCTCTGAGTATAGGAGTACCAACCTCACTTCTAAAAAAAAGATGTTTCTATGTATATTTTTTAAGGTGACTACATCACATTTGACCAGAACACATACACCAGAAGTATTCACCTGGAACCCAGGCATCACAACGTAAGTGTAACCCACTCCTATTTCAGTGTGTACTGTACATGAAGTTTACATTAAGAAACCCCTCAGGACTGACGCGTCCTCTCCTGTGGCCTGCTGGTCTTGCCTCCACTGTTTACCTTTCCTCCTCCAGGTGGTCACGCTGGTCAGGTCAGGGTGGCAGGACCCACTCGGGCTCAGCTGGGGCTGCCCAGACACAACTCAGGGAGACTCTGAAATTAGGTCAAAGGCTGCCCAGTGTTGACCTTTAAGCAGGTCTTCAGTGGGCGCAGCTCGCTGTGTCTAGGGAACTCCAGCCATGTCCACAGACCACCATGGCCCCTGACTGGGCCCCTGAGCCTGTGACAGCAACCCTGCCTGAGCACATAATCCCACAGCGCCGGGGAGGGCCAGCTTGAGGAGGCCACCTGAGGTGACCTCCAAGGTCACTCTCAGCTCTAATTCCCTTAAGGTTCTGGGATTCCAAAAACAGGTCTCACTTCAAGGTCAAAACGACCCTGAACACAGCCTAGGGGGCTGTGCGTGTGATTTTTTTTTTCAGGTGAGCCTCATTTACGTCTTGAAATGTCTCCCTATTGTTTACATGTATAGGGAGGCGAGCAATTTCTGCTTTGTCATTAGGAGCCTGTTATCATGGATTACTAGAGAGAGAAATCCACCGTGTTCTCCTCCATTCTAAACCATGAAACCCTCACTGGTCCCCAGTAATCAGCCGGACAAAGTCGCAGTGCCCCTCTATCCCTGCACCTGCATTGCCTTGACCTCGGGGAAGTCCCCTGCAGAAATCTGGTATTCTCGCTGCAGCTGAATGTAGATTTCTGGCAACCTGCTGATAAGCTCTCTCTTCTTGTTCTCCTTTCCAAACACACTCGGCATCTCCTTCTTCAGATGGCTGATGATGTAGGCGTGCACCTGGAGGGGTGTATATCAGTGAGGACAAGCCATTCAGAACTGCACCAGAGAGGGACAAACACAACGGCATCTTCCACGCATCACAACACACAACAGGTTCCCCAACAGTGCCATGGTCCTTGGGACAGGAGGAGGGGCAAGGATCTGGGGAAAAGGCAATGAGGGGGTCTGAGTCGGAAAGATCTTGGCTCTGGTGATTAACCTAAGAAGACCTAAGAGGAAGTTTCACCAGGACCAGTGCATGGAAGTATCAGGAAATGAAACTGGAAGTCAATCTGCATGGAAATCTGTGCCCAGTGACCAATGAGATGAGAATTCCCATAACTAAACTCCCCGCGGACAGTGTAGACCCGAGATCACTGAAGTCATTTCTGCACAAGACCAGCTGCCTAGGACCAGGCTGGATGGCAGAAGCTCCCTGTGGGAGAGGGAACCACAGTACACGAGGAGGAAGCTCCAGAAACCCTGGTCACCTAGGGGTAGCAGGCCTGGCACTGTTACCCAAAGCGGGTGAATCCTGCTGCTAGGGCTCTGCTTGGACTGCGTCATCCCTTCCTTAACATTTCTACCCTTCTTCTGATCTCCAACTTTAGGATGTTAAGAAATGTTCATTACAAAACTTCTCTTTGTATATCTAGAATTCTACAGAATAATTTCCAAGTCAAGAAAATAAGTAAAATAAGAAAAGATGAAAAACAGGGCAGTGATTACAAAAAGAAAATGAGTATGTAGCTATGGAAAATCCTATTAGAGAAAACAGACATCTACTGTACTCTTGTGGAAGAATGGCAATTGAATAAAGGGGGTGAGCAGATACATCCCACGGCTCAGCTGAGGGCCTCTGTGTAGGGATATACACTGGGCACAGCCAAAAACATTTTGCTAAGATTTGAACACTAAAATAAGCACATAATGCAAATGCTGACATGCTCGGACCAGACAATGCTAACTTCTCCATCTATATAAAGGTCATTTTAACATAAGCACACATTGTGCTGCCTGGCTGCTGTGACAAGTGTAGACTGGGAGAGATGCTTCTAAACCTTTCTGTCACTAGTAAACTTGTTTATTTACTTGTTTTTCAAGTTAAAACAATCAAAAATATTTACACGATTTTAAAAGATAACTAGAGAAATCCAAGGTTTGGGAATCCTTTATTTAGAATGACGGGCTTTAACTGCATTCTTGAGGATATGATGAAAAAGTGGTAAAATTAGTGAGACTAGTAACTTCCTCGCCTTGAATAGTGAATGCCTGGCTTCGTCTGGATGGAGCTGGGGAGGGTTCTGTGCAGCACCAAAGGACTTGGAGGGGCCGCCATACTCAGTTGGGGTGACCCAGCTGCTCACCAGCTGTCCTTGTGTCATTTCCTTGGCCTCGGCCCTCCTGGAACCTTAGGACTGGGCCTGTGGACACCTCTCTGTTCTATGCTCAGGCCTGCCCTGCTCTGGAGCCAGCCCCACTCGAAGCAGGAAGTCCCACCACCCGCTCAGTCTCCCAACCACAAGGGCTTCTTTCCAAGACCCCTTCCCAGAGCTCAGGCCTGGGGCAGCTGCCAGGCCCCTGCAGCCCTCCCTGAGCCCCCTCACCGCCTATTAGTGTGGCTCTCAGAGCTGCCAGGCCCCTGCTCCAGGAAGGCTGACTCCCTACCCAGCCCCTGGCTCCCCTGGGACTGGCATCCTGTTCTTGAACACTGTCTGGTACCCAGAGGCCTGTAGGTCACGTGCACCTGCCACAGTTCTCCTCCCACCACCTGGCAACTGCTCCCTTATCCCGCCCTCAGGGGTTCACTGCTGATGACCTAGGCTGCTGGATAATGGGCCACCCTTGGATGCCAGGCCTCCGGTGCCCTGACATAACTGGGGCGGTTTCTGTGCCAGGCCTCAGCTCCCTCCTCCTCCTCCTTCTTGCCTGGCAAGCTACCTGAGTCATAACCCTCAGGTGACCCGACCAACCAGCTCATGCTGCAAGCTGCTGTCAGCCTCCACCACCACTTCCAGGAAGCTCTACCGGCCTGTTTTGTGGAGTCTCCTGCTGTGCTGTCACTGCACGGCCACCCCCTCCTGTCCTTCCCTGGGCATGCTAAGATGATAACTCAGGGTCAGATTCTATGCATGGGCCCTGCTTTTAAGAAGTTTATTGAGCTACAAGATACATTATAATCCTTAGAATCATAGAGTATTAAATCTGGAAGGGGCCCCTATACCTGACTGAACTCCTGGTTCCAGGAAATTTGTATGACTTACCCAAGGTCATGCAACTAGTTAGGTGATGCTGAGCTGGCACCAGCATTCAACTGCCTCATTCCCTACCTTATAGAATTAAACTGCTGCTGTGGATATAAATTAAAAATCTTACTGAAGCTGCTGAAGTCTGAAATTCAAAATGAACAACTTTGAGGTTTGGCTTCTGATCGCTCCTAACCCACAGGGTCGCTTTGGGAAGGTTGTTGCCTCTCCCTGCCCCTCCCCATACACAAAAAATGGATACGTTATGGCATGTAACCCTGTGAACACCACACAGAATGTGGGTAAAGACTACACTCTTCTAGCAAGTTGGCACCTGTGATCTTTTCAGGACTCTTGGTAAACAGGGCCTGAAATCCCCAAACCTCAGAAGTGATCTCAAAAGCTCACTTCTGCCCTACTGGGTCAAAGGTATGTCTCCAAATAAACACAGGACCCAGGACCAGACCCGGCAATGGTCCCGTGGAAGGAGGTAGGAACAGCCTGAATGTCTGTTCTTTACAATGAGAGAGGAAGAGGAATGGAAGGGAGAGGACAGGTAGAAAGAGGAGGTGGGCAGGGCCAGACCCAGTTGGAAGGCGGGGTCGGGCCCTGCCACTGCTGCCCACTCGCTGGCTGAGCAACTCGGGGCCAGCCATCTCCTCCCAGCCTCGCTCATCCGCAAACTGGAGATTACAAACCTTACCTTATAGGGTTGTTTTGAGAATTGAGAGAGAGCATGTACTTGAATGCATTTTGTCGACAAGAAAGAGGAGTAAAAATGTTGTCAGTGACCAATGGTCAGAGCCCTGCTGCTGGACAGGTATTCAAAACAGAGCAGTCCCCTGGCTATTCAGTCCTCACTGAATAATGAATAAACTCTCTATATTTAAATAGCTACATGATGAATTTGGGTTCTAAGCTTTTCATTCACAAGTGAATGACATTGGTCCCTGGGAACCTTTGAACATTCTTACCGTGTCCAGTTCACTCTTTCCCTTGTATAAAACTGGAAAAGTCCCAGCTCATCAGATGGTGATGACTAGGGGCAAATCAAATGGATCAAAATGGCAATTTTTCTCTGGGCTAATAATTCAATCAGCAGAAAGAGATGTTCCCCTTTTAAATGAACGTGAATTTATAGTTCACACCTACACTCAGCCACAATCTCATTAATTGTGTCCAGGGACAAGTGACTGAGAAGCATGTGTGCAGGGTGACACTGGATACATCCACCCTGGGCTTGGAGGGCATTCCCTGGCAGCAAGTGCTGGAAGCTTCTAGGGCTCATGGGCAGTAGGAGTGGAGATGCTCATGGAATGTGGATGAGCTGGGTGGAGGGTGTCAGGCTGGGAAACACAGTTCAGCACTGGGTAACCTCAGGGTTGCCCAGACTTTACATGCCCTGCTTGGGAAACCTGCATCTTTGTAGACCCAGTTGGAAACGTGCTTAGAGCATTTAACCTCTGAGGATCAGCACATTTTAAAAGTGGGTTTATGATGGTATAAAAATTTAATTCACAAACTAAAGACCCAGAAGATGAACCCATAGGGTAGTGAGAGTGTGAACCTGCTAGAGGCAGTTGATTGGCTCCCACTTGGGGGTTTGTTACTCTTTTGAAATTGAAGGCGGCACCAACAGCACGTGATTCTGAAGAGCACTGAAGGGGGATGTGCGGGAGCCCACCCAGCCCTCTGAGGCCAGCCTTCAAAGAAACAGACTCCCCTGTGTGGACTCTGGTGGTGACACACCCACAGTAGCTTGGGACTACAAACGGAGCCACTTTTAAAAGCCCCCCTGGTGGACTAAGTGTTAAAGGGATGGTCATCGGCCACTGTGGGATGATTCTTACATAACTTAGCCTGGGTCCACTTGGTGAATTTCAAAACGTCTAACTCCTCCACAGAAAGGATGGGCAGGGCAGACGGACCGGAAAGCTGGGCCCTGCCCGCGGCACGTGACTAAGAGGAGAACACGCTTTGAAGATGAAGCTAAGTTCCCCAGAACTATAGTAAACCCCTAAATCACTGACCTGTCCTTTTCTTTCTCATTTTCAGTTGTTCCTTCCTCATATGTTGATTAATCTTTTATTGAACAAAGCCCTCCAAGTGAGTGGGAAGCTTTTCTATTCTTGGGCAGCGTGTTTGTAAAGGGTGGGGGTCCTGTAGTCAATTTGTCTTGCTTTTTACCTTTGTGCGTTGATCCCACGAACTACTGTGATTTGGAGTTTGAGCCTTACTTCTTTCACTTGGCTATTTTAATTACAGCCAAATAAGACTAGATTTATATTTTCTAAACCCCTTTTTGTTTAGCTTTCCCAAAAAAGATTACTCTAAAAAATCATGAAATGAAACTTGACTGGCATCTTAGATTGTGAATAGTCTTCAAAGAAAGTGTCTGTCTACTGATATCATAAGACATAATCTTTGAGGCTAACCAAAAAACCCACTCTAAAGGTTTCCTGTTCCTTGAAATAGAGAGTTGTGAAATATATATACATATATATATAAATAGAAAAAGCAGGGAAATCATGAACTTTCAAGAGATTGTTGATAAGAGTGTCATTTTTCATATTATTAAAATGTCATCTTTACGAGAGCTTGTCTTGATTACTGCAGAACCTGGCAGGACGTTAAAGATGCATGTCTGGCTTTCTCTCTGGATGGGCCACGAATTCTACCTAATTGTGGTCTTCTATCAATAGACGCACTCCACACCCCAACTCAGATCTGACACCTCACAGGTGACACCTGAAAACTTATCCTCTGCATGCTTTCAAAATGAGCCTGATAAACCTCTCAACTTTGTAGGGTTTCTGTGGATGGAGGATTTGATAGAATAAACAAAATGACAGATTAATGCAGAAAGCAAGGACATAGTAAGAAGCAACAGATGCTGTCCACTCTGGATTTCAGGTGAATGCTTTCTGGACCAGGGAGTCAGGCCCACTGGAGTTTGAATCTATATTTTGCAACTTCAGGCTGTGAAGCCTTGGGCAAGTTACTTCACCTTTCTGAACTTCAGCTCTCCATGTGAGAAACGAAGAGAATGCTCAACTTTGTGCACTTATTGGCAGGATCAGACAAAATTACACAAGAAATGAAAATCGTAGAGCTTCTGGAACCCTGCAGACCATCATAAGGGTTGGCTTGCAAAAGTAAAACTGGATCAAGAGAAATAAAATTAATATACCAAAACCAAAGAGTGTTTTTATGAAACAGAAATGTTGCAAAGAGAGAAACTCAGGTGACTCCTTGCCCATTTCAGCAACAAGTTCACAAATGGAACATAAAACAGCAGATGGCGTATAGAGTGGATGGCATCGGTCAGTGGCCAAGGCCATTGTGCTGAGTTCTGCTTCTTATCCGCCTGAGACTGTTTCCTGTCCCCCTTCTCAGCATGGTACCGCCCCAGGAACACACTGGCACTGAGAAGCTCAGGCTGGAAACATCCGTACTTCAAACATTTTCCTTTATGAAAAGGAACAAGCCAGATACTATTCTTAGCAAGAAAAAAAGACAAGCTTTTTTCCTAGAAGTAAGATCAGCAAGTTGACTGCCCTCTGCCCCCCACCCTCAACACAAGGGCTTTCATTATTCCTGGTGTCAGGACAGAGCAGCATTCTGTGCCTCTTGAAACCCAGGCCATGCCAGCCCATTCACAGGGCCCAATGCTCCAGGACAGCAGCGAAGTCCCATGCGCTCGGCACCCCCAGTGAGCTCTCTGCCCTCTACTTTTTTATGTGACTGAATAGAGCTGCATCTTGAGTCACTAGGCCCTCAGCAATGACTGGTAAGTGAAAAACGTCCACGGGCATTTAAAAATAATTCAAAACATCTTGAAATCTGCAGAGGCTATGACATCATTTCCCAGCCTTGGTTCTAAAAGCACTTTGGGTATTATGTACCCTGAAGGTTAAGTCCAGCTGTAGCAGCTGGAGAAGAGAAAGGCCACGTGCCAGGGGGTCACCAGATGGGCAAAAACAGACTTCCGGCC